AAAAGAGGCAAAAGGGAAAAAATCATAAATCTTACTCTCAAAGTCCACCTCCTCAATTTGGGATGATTCCTTGTCTAAAGGAGAGAGGGAAGGAAGGAAGGAAGGGAGGAAGGGAGGGAGGGAGGAAGGAAGGAAGGAAGGAAGGAAGGAAGGAAGGAAGGAAGGAAAGGTATGTTTGAGTTATTAAAATTAAAATTAATTATTCAGAAAAAAATTAAAAAAAAAAAAGGACGGATAGAACCCTAGGACAAATGGTGGAAGCAAAACTATACAGACAAGATCTCACACAGAAGCATACACATACACACTCACAAAAAGAGGAAAAGGGGAAAAAATCATAGCCCTTGCCCTCGAAGCCCACGTTCTCAATATGGGATGACTCGTTGTCTATTCATGTATTCCACGGATGCAGCGTACATCAAGTTGATTGTGGAGCTTTAATCCGCTGCTTCTGAGGCTGCTGGGAGAGATTTCCCTTTCTCTTCTTTGTTCTCACAGCTCCAGGGGCTCAGCTTTGGATTTGGCCCTGCCTCTGCGTGTAGGTCACCTGAGGGCGTATGTTCTTCGCTCAGACAGGACGGGGTTAAAGGAGCCGCTGATTCGGGGGCTTTGGCGCACTCAGGCTGTGGGGGGAGGGAGGGGCACTGCGTGCGGGGCGGGCCTGCGGCGGCAGAGGCCGGCGTGACGTTGCACCAGCCTGAGGCGCGCCGTGCGTTTTCACTGGGAAGTTGTCCCTAGATCCCGGGAACCCGGCAGTGGCGGGCGGCCCAGGCTCCGCGGAAGAGGGCTGTGGATAGTGACCTGTGCTGGCACACAGACCCCTTGGTGGCGGCAGCAGCAGCCTTAACGTCTCCCGCCCGTCTCTGGGGTCCGCGCTTTTAGCCGCGGCTCGCGCCCGTCTCTGGGGTCCACGCTTTTAGCCGCGGCTCGCGCCAGTCTCTGGAGTTCCTTTAAGCAGCGCTCTTAAACCCCTCTCCTCGCGCACCAGGAAACAAAGAGGGAAGAAAAAGTCTCTTGCCTCTTCGGCAGGTCCAGACTTTTCCCCGGACTCCCTCCCGGCTAGCCGTGGTGCACTAACCCCTTCAGGCTGTGTTTGAGCCGCCAATCCCTGCGCTCCCACCGAAGCCCGAGCCTCAGCTCTCAGCCCCGCCCGCCGTGGCGGGTGAGCAAGACAAGCCTCTCGGGCTGGTGAGTGCCGGTCGGCACCGATCCTCTATGCGGGAATCTCTCCGCTTTGCCCTCAGCACCCCTGTTCCTGAATTACTTTTATTTAGTTCTCCTAATGTATAATGCTTTTTTTTTTACCTTTGTCTTCTCCACGGCATTTGCTGTTACTTTCAGCTGACTAATTTCTGTGTTTATTAGATCCCACCTCATATGTCACTTCTGAAAAGCTTTTCCAGACCGTCCATTTAAACTCTGTGACTACCCTTTTAGCATATACCAGGCTTTATAGTAATTGCATAATTATGAAAGTATGCCTTTTTAAGGAAATATTCCATCAGGTCAAAAACTCAGTATGGACAGGAACTATTTTTTTCCCAGGAACCAGCATAGTATGAAATAGGCATTTAGTCAGTATTTAATAGATTGATAGATGTTTCTGAAGATGACTTTGCCTCAAATTTTCCTGAGAGTCTAGAGATGTTCTGACATAATGCCCTTAGTCTTAAACTTTTTATCTTTTACTCTCCTTTCCTATTACTGCTTGGGGGGATAAATACTTAACTGAAATATAAAGTGGAAAATATAAGTGCAGTAGAAGTAGAGGGGTATTAACTATCTTTCAAAAAGTTTAGTGATGAGAAAGGAGGAGGTATAATATTAGGTAGAAATAATATCAAAGTAAGGTTGTTTTGAAGGATGGGGAGAAAAAGGAAATATTTGTAGGCTGAGGAAAAAATATAGTGAAGAATATAATGAAAGCAGGAATAGAGAGACAGTTGGTGAAGCAAGAGCCCCGAAGGTCAGGAGATAGGAAGGGGATAGGATTGTTTCACTTTTCTGCTGGTTCTTACAGCCTTCAGGGCAATGGACCAACTCCTCAGTATAGACTACTAGTCCATGCAGTGGCATTGGTGTTTTGGCCTGTTCCATGTCCAGTGAACATTCAGTTTTCTGGTAAGAGCATCTTAATTTCTCTTGAGGAACACACCTTCTTCAGCTCCTGGTCCAGCTGACACTGTTTGCTACTATTCCCTGATCCCTAACTAAAGAGGTCATTTTTTATGATATGGACTTCCTTTTATTTTGGTGATTTCCATGTGTGTTCCATGTGAGTTTAATATCTTATATTAGGTTCTTTTAAATGACTCTTTTTAAAGATTTTTTAAAAGACTCATTAAAAACCAAACACACTCAAATGTATTAAATACCAAATTTTATCATATTGCCAGGTTTATTTAGTTTCATATATATCTGAGAAAAACATCCTCCTAGCCATTTATAGGCATATCATTGAATTTTGTTTTAAATGCTATTAATTAGGAAGGATATAGTTATGTACTAATCTTGAAAATTTTATCTGTATGTGTGCTTATTAAATTAGCTTAACTAAATATTCTGCTATAGTACTCAAGGTATAACTCAAACATGCTCCAAGGTATGGAATAGCTGTTTCTCATGGAACATGTTCTCCAACAGAGCATGCTGTTCTCATTGTATAAGTATAATAGTTGCATAGTAACAACTGAATAGGCATCATGCAGCATCATAACAATAACATAGTGTAATTTTAGTTCTTATAAGTTGCTTCCCTGACTTGTGTATCTATGATAGTTATAAATACAGCTTTTATCCATTTTATATATATATATATACACACACACACACACACATACTGTCCCTCTATGTATGCATGTATGCATGTGTATGCCTGTATGTGTATGCATGTATGTGTGTATTGTGGGTATGTATATATGCCACTCTTAAAAGGCATAAAAATAAACTCTACTGATTGAATTAAACCACTATCCAGTAACCTCATTGCCAGATCTACTGACCATTTCTTTTTAATTCTTTCTACTTTCTGATCTATTAATTTTTAATAGTTGTTGACTACCCTCCTTAAAAATTTCTTCCCAGAATGTTTATTTTCATGAGAGGTATGCTAAAGTATTTAGAAGTGTCATACCTGCAGCCTACTTTAAAGGTTCAACAGAAAATTTAAAAATTGATAGTGTCTGGCCTTACATTTAGGTCTTTAATCCATTTTGAGTTTATTTTTGTGTATGGTGTTAGGGAGTGTTCTAATTTCATTCTTTTACATGTAGCTCTCCAGTTTTCCCAGCACCACTTATCGAAGAGACTGTCTTTTCTCCATTGTATATTCTTGCCTCCTTTATCAAAAATAAGGTGACCATATGTGCATGGGTTTATCTCTGGGCTTTCTGTCCTGTTATATTGATCTGTATTTCTGTTTTTGTGCCAGTACCATACTATCTTGATTACTGTAGCTTTGTAGTATAGTCTCAAGTCTGGGAGCTTGATTCCTCCAGCTCTGTTTTTCTTTCTCAAGATTCCTTTGGCTATTCGGGGTGTTTGTTGTTTCCATACAAATTGTGAAATTTTTTGTTTTAGTTCTGTGAAAAATGCCATTGGTAGTTTGATAGGGATTGCATTCAATCTGTAGATTGCTTTGGGTAGTATAGTCATTTTCACAATGTTGATTCTTCCAATACAAGAACATGATTTATCTCTCCATCTGTTTGTATTATCTTTAATTTCTTTTATCAGTGTCTTATAGTTTTCTGCATACAGGTCTTTTGTCTCCTTAGGTAGGTTTATTCCTAGGTATCCAAAAATGGGCAGAAGACCTAAATAGACATTTCTCCAAAGAAGATATACAGATTGCCAACAAACACATGAAAGGATGCTCAGCATCACTAATCATTAGAGAAATGCAAATCAAAACTACAATGAGATATCACCTCACATCAGTCAGAATGGCCATCATTAAAAAATCTACAAACAGGGCTTCCCTGGTGGCACAGTGGTTGAGAGTCTGCCTGCCGATGCAGGGGACACAGGTTCGCACCCTGGTCCTGGAAGATCCCACATGCCACGGAGCGGCTGGGCCCGTGAGCCATGGCCGCTGAGCCTGTGCATCCGGAGCCTGTGCTCTGCAACGGGAGAGGCCACAACAGTGAGAGGCCCGCAAAAGAAAAAGAAAAAAATGCTGGAGAGGGTGTGGAGAAAAGGGAACCCCCTTTTTATGGGCCTCTCACTGGCCTCTATCTGACATTGTCCCTATTTTCACATTTCTGGATCTCATCCATGCTTCAAGAGTTGGCTTTCAGATTTGCCTTCCAGCTGGGAATAATCTTTTCTTCCTGGGATGTCCCAAAGTCTTTTTCTCTTTCTTTGTTATTGTGGTTAGTATGCTTTCCATTGTACTATAGTTATTTATGTGCATGTTACTGGTAGTTGTTAAGTTCTTTAAAGTCTGGATTTATGTCTTATCTATTTCCTGTGTACACTATATGGTACGTATTTCTCAATGAATATTTATTAAGTAAATATCTAAAGAGCTATCTTGTTTGGGGGGCCTTTTGGGGGGAACAAAATTTTGAGGGTTCTTTATTAATATACCAAAGGCAGAAAAGATTACATGTTCCATAAGGACCTACAGAAGTATATTTAAAAGTAATTTTGCTAAAAAAGAAATACAAGAACTTAGATATATAGATGAGACCTTGGAGCACTGATTCAAAGCATTTTCAAACAGATGAAAGCTAGTTTTTACAGCCACGTAGAATAGAATATAGACTTATCAGAATGTTCAGTCGTTGAACCAGTTACTTATACAAGTCTTGGCAAACAAACATTTTGTTTTTCTTTAGTATTTCTATAATACGCAGCTCACATTTTATAAACTCCTAATTTACTTCTTGATGCTGTTGAAATTATATTTAGGAGATTATTGATTCTTAAATAGTTCTGTTTCCCTTCTTGCATATATATATTTTAAAATTTTTATTATTTGCTTGTTTGTTTTGCAGGTATCCTGGTCAGATATAGGAGGACTGGGAAATATCAAACTGAAGCTGAAACAGGCTGTGGAATGGCCCTTGAAACATCCAGAGTCTTTCACCCAAATGGGTATTCAGCCACCTAAAGGAGTTCTTTTGTATGGGCCTCCTGGATGCTCTAAAACAATGATTGCAAAGGCTTTGGCCAATGAGAGTGGGCTGAATTTCCTAGCTGTAAAGGTAGGGTGTTAAATTTTTTAACTGCTACTCTGTCTTCTAGGCACCCCCGTCCAATCCTCTGATTCCTACCCTTAGGAGAGCATAAAAGGCCATCTTAAGGAGTAGTTGATTTTTATTTGAGATTGATGGCAATATAATATAGGGAGATGGGAGATAAATTAGTGCCTATAATCAGCAAATCATGGTTTAGTTTCTTGATTCTCAATATTTCTTACATGTGTAATAGAAACCAGTTTTCTTTAGTTTCTACATTTTAAAATTGTACTAATCACTTTTGTTTAACCAAGACTTAATTATAAATTTGATTGAATTTAATAAATTTAATATTTACAAACATAATATTTTAAAAGAAATCAAATACCTTATATGGTACAAATCATTTTATTTTTAATATTCATTATTTATTTGGCTGCATCGGGTCTCAGTTGCAGCACACGGGCTCTTTGTTGCAGCACGTGGACTTCTCTAGTTGTGGCACACGGGCTCCAGAGCGCATGGGCTCAGTAGTTGTGGCATGCGGGCTCTCTAGTTGCGGCACATGGGCTGTAGAGAGCACGGACTTAGTTGCCCTGCGGCATGTGGGATCTTAGTTCCCCAACTAGGGATCAAACCTGTGTCCCCTGCATTGGAAGGCGGATTCTTAACCACTGGACCACCTGGGAAGTCCCCGAAAATAAATTTTTTAAAAACACTTTCCCAGTCAGAAGATATATATACATTATTTATATTCTGAAACACACACATGCATATTTTATTTGTTTACTGCCCTGCCCTATTACTTGGGATAGATTATCTTACCTGATATGTAGTTTTGCATTTACTGTAGGACTATATATTAATTTTGTTATTAACTTCTGTATAACATGATAATATATCCATTTACTAAATATATATATATATTTTAGTATACATGTATATGTATATATAAAACCTTAAATCCATTTCTGTAGACTTTATCGCAAAAATACATATTTAAATATGTTAACTATCAAAGTCATTTCAGAAAAGGTACATGATAATTTATTTTGATGTTGTCAGGGAATTTTTTTTGTAATAAAGTATGTTCTTTTAATCTTAAAACATTGAAATCATTGGCAGGTTGAATGTATAAAACCTATTTCAGAGTGTCAGCCTTTTACTTTACTGTTGACCCTTGAACAACGTGGGTTTGAACTGTGTGGTTCCACTTATACATGGATTTTTTTTCTATAGTAAAACTATAGTATTACATTATCCGAGGTGGATTGAATCTGCGGATATGGGGAAACTGTGTAAATGGAGGGCCGACTATAAGTTACACTAAGTTATACTTAGATCTTTGACTGCATGGAGGGTCAGAGCTCCTCACCCCCGCATTTTTCAAGGATTAGCTATACTTAAATTTTTTGTGGAATGATATTTAGATGTATTTAGGCTATTTGCTTTTTAAGAATCAGTATCTTCACAATCACTAGTGTTTGCCTGTTTTTTATTATCTTGTAGAAGACATAGGATAGGGATTTGGGGAGGGGACCATTGTCACTGTGATTAGTTACGCTGAATCATTACCATAGTTTTAAAGGTTGCAGTTTTAAATGTTGGAGTAATGAGTGATTTTGAAATTTCCAGAGACATCTTGATTTCTCTTTGGTCCTTGTCCTCTTGTCTTGTGGTAGTGGAAATGGTCATTTTACTGGCATTTCCTACTCTTTTTTTTCTGTCATCTCCATTTTTCTGTGCCTGCCTTCCACAGTGTATATTCATAATTGAATTTTTCCTGTCTACTGGAAATCTAAAACTTATTTAATGAGGATTTAGCTCACAGTTATTTACACTTGAATGTCAAGGAAGAAAGAGCACATATATTTCCTTACAAATTAGTATCTCACTCTTTTGTGATCCAGGTGCTTACCAGGACTGCTTTCTGGCCTATCCTAGGATTACTTAGAAATATATTTATTGCTGCTTTTGCATATGAAACCTTTCATAACTTTACAGTTTCACTTTTGTCTTTTTTCATGATGAGAAAATGAGGAAGACTCTTTTTTCATGTAAAATAACCAACTATGTGTTAATTTATATGCACCTTTCATTAACTATTTAATTCTTTTAGGTCACACACAAAAGATAAGTGATGTTAAGAAATTTTCTTAATAAATTGAGTTTGTACTTGCTTAGGGATTATTACATATCCTATTTACTAATTTTTATTTAATGTGGACTTTTATTCATTATACAATTTAGTGTACTTTGACAGTATTATTCAATTTTTGAATCTGGGTGGAGGATATATTAAGTGAACAATGGGTGTTCATTTACTATTCTTTCAACTTTTCCTATGTGTTTATAAATTACAAAAGAAAAAGTTGGGAACACAAAAAATATTTGCTTTTTTATGCATTTTCATTGGTCCTTTCATCTTGGTCTGATTAATGCTTATGAGAAGAGTTAAAATAGCTATATCATACCATTTATGTATGAGGATATCAAGTCAAAGAAGTTAGGAATTCATATTGTATTCTTTCAAGTTTTATTTTCCTACAAAGAAAAAGTTATCTTTTGTTTCCAACATAGATAATTGTTTTCTATGGGATTTAAGTGTTATAATTAAATTTGAACTTTTTGAGATAACAAATCTCAAACATTTTGAAAGTGATCCGAAAAAAATAGGTAGACTCTGGTTTTGAGAAACACAAGTGTTCTGGATGTATTGAAAGAATAAACTCCCTAACACTTTTTGCAATGGTGATTACCTTTAATTCCAAAGATAAAGAATTTTAAAGTTTAAACATTTCTTTCTCTGAGTTTATGAAAGAACCCTTTATCTTCCCCTGTGCATCTTTTCTAAACAGTGATTACAAGATTTATATTCTACTCAGAGTTAAGACTTCACCTTGGCTTGTGTGGGCTCTTAATAGCCTTTGGCATCTGTGTGTGTTTTTGTGCAGACTGTAGCACTTGACATACGGTTAAGTTTAGTTTGCCATCTGGGTCAATTACGTCAAAATATTTTCCAGTTGAAATTTCCTCTCTGCTTCTCGCTTGCTTTTTGTCTGGAGTGCTACAATAGATTAATTACCCTTGAATGGCTGGGCTGCTTTACTTTATGAAGAACTGTTACTGATTCTGGAAGAAGGGTGATTAGGCCTCTGACAGGGATTTTCAGCAAGTCCTTTATTAGCTGTATTGGTGAGTACAAGGATGTAATGAACTTAGTATATCCTTAACTTTTGGGGGAAACTTTTTCTGACACTTGTCCCAGAGAGGAATTGTGCAAAATACATCCCATTTTCAGGAAAAACCTGTATTTTACTGAAAGCAGTGCACAATTCAAAGTAATTACTATTGTTCGTTTAACTAGATTCCCTACTATTCTGTTACCAAAAGTACAAGATAATTTGAACTTTGTAGGTTCCAAGTTCATCTTCAAACTTTAAAAAAAAAAAATTAGGCTAGTCTATAAATCACAGAGCTTTTATTTTGCAGATATTGCCTGGAAAACTGCACAGATACCTCTTTTACATACTGAATGCTTTAAGGTTAGTTTCTAGGATTACAAATAAGGATAGTGATGTTTAAGAAGGTGAAGTGACTTTTCCAAGTCAAAGTGGTGGTAATGGAACTGAAATTTGATCTCAGGACTTTCTGACTCCAGAGTCTAAGCACTAAACCCCACTGTATTATACAGTCTTCCATTTTCCTTTTTTTTTTTTTTTTAATAAAACTAGTGCCCAGTGCTTTTTTTCATTAATTACACCAACTTACTTGAGAAGGTAGTTCAGGCAGTTTCTATGGGGCAGGTTCAGAGATGTGGAAAGATGTTTCTGAGACCTAGTTTAAAAAATAATTTTGTTTCTCTCAGACAAAGAAAACTGAGGAAAATAGCATGGCTTTGGAGCGGAAGTTGATTGAGTTAATAAGAAAGGGTAAACTCTGCCAAAGAAACAGGAACCTGATGAGCTAAATGGAAGTGTAGGGAAAAAGACTAGTGGTTGAATAATGTGAAGCTTGAAATTTACCTATTACTATATAATTTGTGCCCTTGAGATTGAGTGTGTTACATTGAAAAGAGCATTAAGCTAGGATTCAGATAGCTTTGGTTTGATTTCTAACACTAGCACTTTTTAGCTCTGTAACCTTAAATGCGTTCTCTAAGACTTAGTTTTTTCATCTCTATAGGCCTTTTGAGAGGATTATATTTAAATCGTAAGTGAAGAAGTTTTAGAGGGCATAACTACTTAACTCTTAAGTGTGGGCTGCATATAGTTATGACTTCCTTACAAGAGGGTTCCTTATGGAAAGGAGGGAGGGGCAGAGTTACTTGGTAGTGGAGAAACCTACCTCAGCCAGGTTATCATGGTTAACACCAATTGGTCATGTTGTTAGTATGTACCCGTCCGTGCATGATGCGATGAGAATGGTCCTTTCTTCCCAAGGTCTTCCTCCCAAACACTCATAATCCATGTCTACCCGTGAGAAAAACATCAGGCAAACCCAAATTGAAGGACGTTCTGTAAAGTACCTAACCAGTACTCCTGAAACTGTCAAGGTCATCAAAAATAAGGAAAGTCTCAGAAACTGTCACAGCCAAGAGGAGCCCAAGGAGAGGACAGCTAAATATACTGTTGTGGTTTCCTGGATGAGATCCTAAAAGGACATTAGGTAGAAACTAAGAAAACCTGAATAAACTGTGGACTTCAGTTAATAATAATGTATCAATATTGGTTCATTGTGACAAATGTATCACACTATATTAATATATGATAAGAATAGGGGAAACTGAGCGTGTGTTGGGGTAGGGATGAGTATATGGGAACTCTTGGTACTGTATGCTCAGTTCTTCTGTAAACCTTAAACTTTACCAAAACAAAAAAGTCTGTTAATTAAATAAGAGTTCCAAGGTCAGTATCAGGGCATACATATTATGTCTGGATTCAGTGAATGTAACTGAAGTTGAAAAGGCCAGCTCAGGACGTCCCTGGCAGTCCAGTGGTTAAGACTCCATCTTCCACTGCAGGGGG